CACACACAGTATATCTACCTTCCTTCTCTCCATCATGTCCACCAGCTCTCTACCTTTCCCTGTCATTGTGCCAATGTTAAGAGTCCCTATTCTCAGACCTATACTCCTGCCTTTCCTCTTCTTTCTCTGTCTATGAATCCTTCTACCTCCTCTCCTTCTTTGACCAACAGTAGTCCAGTTTCCGCTAGCACCCTGTAGGTCAACAACACTGGTGGCGGTCGTTGTTAACTCGGGCCTTGACCGAACTGGTATGGATTTTGCACTGATCATTTGCATGTTTAAATTTGGCATGTTTTTACACCAGATGCCCTTCCTGATGCAACCCTTTCTATTTATCCGGGCTTGGGACCGGCACAGAAGTCACTGGCTTGCAACCCCTGTGGCTAGATTAACCAATTTCTGTATTTTATAGTAGTGTCCCCCCTTTAATACCAGAATCCCATTATTCTGCCAAACCTTAATCTATGCCCACAGACACAACACCAGTGTCAGTTTACTTTATGTGAGCTCAAAGCTCAGGCGTTTTAAAATAAATAAAATTTACTACTTGAATCATTTTTGTTTTTAATTTAAGGTTATCTTCTTAGTCAGCCTTTTGGGTCAAACTGACAAGTAAAGTATTGATTTTACTTATTAAATACATATGACATTATTTTGACATTTCTTTCTTTCTTTTTTTAATTCAGAACATTAAGCACTGAACCAAACTGGACTCTGTGTGTATGTGACCCTGAGGAGTGGGGTCCCATGCCGAGTCGATCTGCTCCTCATGATCAGGCCCAAACTCAGACTGGGTGCCATTTACTATAAAACAACTGGTCATTTCTCAACAAAAAGTCTTTGTAAATGTCCCGCTTTTACTCAACAAGCCTTTTATTTCCAGCTGTAATCAGTAGAAAACTACAGGCTTTCACACTTTTGTGTGTTTTCAGAGGTGAGAGACAAATGTTTCACTTCTGGGTGAAATCATGATTTGAAACTACTGTTTCTTCAGTTTGGTGTCTCAGCATCAACTTGCTGGTAATTGTCCTGTACATGAACTTGTTACTAATACTTTAGTATTTCTCTTTTTGCTACTTGTACTGCACTACATTTACAGTATCTGACAGCTGTAATTTACTTTGTTTTCAATCATGCCACTGACATAAAAACATGGTTAATGATTAAACCGGTGGTTAAGAGCTGGTACTACAACACATAATACATTTACCAGATATTACTATTGAAATAGGTTTTTAAATGGGATTATACTTTGATTGTTCATACTTGGTTCATTAGTAAAGGAGCTGAATGCTTCCTCCACCACTGACCACAGCGAACCGCACGTCTGCACATGTTGTGGTCGGTGTGGAACTATGTGTGCACACTGGTCTTTGTCTTTGCAAGTTTTCCCCATTTAAATTGGTGTATTTACCTTTGTTAAGACATGACCAGTGATTTCCTCTTCCTCTGGGACCACTGTGTTAGTCCTGTTTAGTCCTGTATTTTCACAGGTTTTCTGCTGTGAGCTCTCTGACACGTCTCCTCTGAGGATTAATGAAGTCGTTTGATTTAATCTAATTTGAAGTCTACACACCTGCATCAGTACATTAACTTATTTTACCATCTATTTGTTTGTCTGTTTTATGTTGCCTTGTGTTTCTTTCTTAATCCCCCTTAGCGCTCACTGGATTGTGAATGTGTTGACTCTTAATGAAGGAAAAAGATGACTTGTGTATTCTGAGTTGAACAATCCGGTAAACTGCACCAGACTGTGGAGGAAAAACAAGCGATTTAAGGATGTGTGAGATGGAAACGGGGCTGAGAGCTGCAGGAAAAGCTGCAGACTGGGGTGACTGGGACCAGCAGGAGAGCTCACTCTGCAGAGACACATGATAATTAAGGGTGTAATTAGTGGTTTGTGGATTCTGAAATTCACTTCACTTTAGTTGTGAAGATTTTCTACAGTCCATTTAAAGTGAAAGCAAAAATGAATGTTTAATTTTACACCTTAAAACACTCAAACTTTAGTTTAATGTTACCTTAAAACTGAAGTTTGTACTGTAAAGCTTCTAAAACTAGGTTTTTACACCTGAAAAGGTCATTAGACTGTTTTTTCTTGCCTGAAGCATTACTTAAACTTAAATTTGTATTTTGTACCTAAAATGCCAGATAGCCTAGTTTTATTTTACACTTCAGTTAGTCGACTTTACATTTTACTCCCCTGCCCACCTAAACTTAGATTTTATACACTTTAAATTGTTCACACTTCACTGTTTTTTTCCAAAAAGTCTCTTAAACCTTAGATTTATTAAGCTAAGCTTACTTAATCTTTAAATATAGTTTTTAAAAACTGTTTCAGAGCCACTAGAACTTACATTTAACACTTTAAAAGCCCCTTAAACTTTAATTTTATACTTCAGTCTTTTCACTTTACATTTATTTTCAATCATTTGCACAACTTAAGAACAGAAACCAACTGAACGACTGTTTATAATACTATTTTCAAAGGTTTTAGCTTCTATCATGTGATTCTTTTTAGTGACTCCGCTCTTTTGTTAAGGTTAATAAATCGGCCAGTCGTCCAGTCGTCAGTGAAGCCATCGAGCCGTCATTAACGATAGGCTGCGATTGGTGCTTTCCCGTTAAAAGCCCGAGGTATCGATGAGATCAGTGACTGATGTCATCACGGCTGCAGCGGGTCATCTAATCAGTTCATATTCAATCAGCACTTCACACTTTCCCTAACAGCCGCTGCATCGGGCTCCTAATGAGCCTCATCAGGCTGCAGTTTGATCCCGATCAACTGCTGATTTACACCCTTTAATCAATCATCAGTCAGCTCATTTGATCCTTCTATGTATTTCTCCGCTGACCAGTGTGCCCAAGACCCTTTAAATAAAAAAGTTCAATAAACGACCTCCGGCTGAATTAAAAGTCACGTGACTAATATAATTCGTTGTCTTTTAACTAACAACGTGAGGAATAGGGTCGTTTGTTCCCTGGCATGTTAAACATTACAGAACACTTCCTATTGTTAAAACTCAAAATAAAGTGCGAAATACAGAATGAATGTTACAAAGCAAACCGTCTAGTTTTCACCTGATGCAATGTTGCAGCAGTGAGACGGTGTGTGAAGCGGAGCCTTCCAGCAGGCGGCAGCAGCACCACGGATACGTCCGCCACGGTGTCAGCCCAGCGTGGACGCCATGCCGAGCCACAGGCCGGTGCTTAGAACCGGACATCAGACATTCTCTGGTGTAGTTTTCTGTGCACCTCCTGTGACACGAAGCGGCTTTCATATTGTATGTAAATCCACCGCGGGGGGTTGATCTTTGTTTTGCATGATCAGGTCTGAAAGAAACTGAACAAACGCAAAGTTTAATCATCAACCCCCCAGTACCCCCCTCCTAATGATGAGTGGGATCATTAATTAATCTAATAATAAAGTGCTCTGTTCTCAAGTAAAAGAAAACAGTCTAAGGCCTGAAACCCTACAATTCAGAAGTTCAGAGGGAGTCAGGGGGCTTGTGCACAACTTGTACAGAGGTGATTCTTGGATTTTTCAGTTGTTTGTTTGCTATTAGATCTCCTTAAAAGTAAAAATACAATGTTTGTTTCGGTTTAATGTCTCAAAAGCCCCTTACAGCCTCAGGCAGCGTCCAAAACTCTTTAATAATGCAAAGAGCAGAAGCTCCCCAAACTCTTTCACCTCTCTCAAAACCCCCTAAACGCAGTTAAAACCCCCTTATCGGGCCCCGAACCCTTCCCACGTACCCTCAGCTGCACGCCACGGCCTGAGAGTCCCGCTCTAACACTGGTACCTTCCAGCTGCTGGTTTCCCTGCTGCAGTGGCAGCGCGGGCCGCACGAGGGCGCCTCGGACCGGGGTTTACCTGGAAGTCAGTCCAGGTCAGTCCTGCAGGGTCTGGTCCAGGAAGGAAACAGTACAGAACACGGGTGATGTGGACATGCATGCATGCGGCAAGCGAGGCGGGCATGATTAAGGACTGAAGCTGACCTTTTGATGTTTTATAACGCAGTTCTGTTGTGTAATCCGAGGTTACACCAAGATTCTGACCCCAGCTGATCCGGTGAGCCGGGATATTTTTGGCCTGGGTGGACGCATCCAGAAGCAGCAGTGCAGGAGCCGAGGCTTCCAGAAGTGAAGCTGTGCAGCGGCAGCGCCCCTACTGCCTGCAATAAGAACAGTCCCAAAAGGGAAGCGTCGTCGGGGTTTCTAGTGAATTTCACTTCGTGTTTATCTAAGCCCATTTTCCGATCTCCTATTTTTAACTTCACTCTTGCACAACCTGGAGCGGCTCGTGCTCTGACACGGGGCTGGTCACCTGCTCCAGCTTCCCTCATGTGCTTCTGTAATAACCAGACTCCGTTTAAAACCATTCATTTAAGAATAGCTGCTGTTTGTGTGTGGATGTGAGGTGGACACTGTTTCTTTGGTTCCAGTGAATCCTGCAGCAGGAACAGACTCTGGGGGCATAGACAATGCGCAGGGAAGAGGGATCTGGAAATTCCTTCACTCAGACAGAGCAAACTCCCAGTAAACAAACCGGGAGAATGTGAAAAAAGGGGGGGGGATCTCCGAAACCACCCCCGTGGGATCTCCCGCGGGGGGGGGGGGATCTCCGAAACCACCCACGTGGGATCTCCGGCGTCTGCTCTGCGCTCAGTCGTACTAGTGACAGCCACGAACCAATAAGAGAATGAGTAGCCTTACGTGGTGACGCACAGCAGGGCGGAGATAAAACCGGGGAGTTTCGGCGTTCGGAGGCAGAGATTTCGCTGCTCACTGACGGATTCACATCTCGCGGACCAATCTCTGAATCTCTCCTCTTTTAACGGAGTCTGAAACGATCTTTGTACCGATCTGGATTACAACTTGTTAGGACTTTATTCCGGGAATTTAATGAACACCAGCCTGTGCGCGCTGTGGATATTTCTTACTATCCTGGATCTTGTGGATTATTTTACTGACTTCAGCATGACTCTGGAGGAACTCGTTGGATCCAACAGCACCGAGAAAAAGTAAGTTTCTGTTGCATTATGCTTGTGACTGATGCGTAATTGCGCATTGGCACTGGGCTGCAGGAAAGTCAGATCAAATTTAGGTCCAGATAATAGTGCGGTTTGTAAATCTGGGTCCTGTTTTAGAGCATTATTCTCGTAGTTTCTTATTTGAGAGCTTTTAGCCCAATGTTGTGCAGTTCTTGTGCGCTCGCTCTGCTGGTTTCGGTCACAGTTCTAACGGCCTACGTGTTTCTGTGCAGGATGGAGACGGTGAGTCAGGCTCTGGAGGAGCTGCTGGTCACAGCTCAGCGGCAAGACTGTCTCACGGTGGGAGTCTACGAATCCGCCAAACTCATGAATGTGTAAGTAGGACGTTGTTTTCCGCAGCTTTACCGCACCAGTACATGCTCTCGTAGCGGGATATACTGATGTTAACCGAGGTCTGCCCTCCTGCTTCTACAGAGACCCGGACAGTGTGGTCCTGTGCGTCCTCGCCACTGATGAGGAGGATGTCGATGACATCGCGCTGCAGATCCACTTCACGCTTCTGCAGGCTTTCTGCTGCGACAACGACATTAACATTCTGCGGGTGTCCGGCATAAGGCGGCTGGCCCAGCTGCTGGGGGAGGACACCGAGAACAGTAACAGCAACGAGCCCCGGGACCTGCACTGCATCCTGGTCACGGTAAGTCCACCCCCCTTCTACTCAGCGGAACACAGGCGCATTCAAGTAACTATGAAACTGCTAATTTAAAAAAATAAATAAATAAAGGGAGTCTGACCGTCCTTCCCGCTATGTTTCGCAGAACCCCCCAGTGCAGCCGCTACAGTGCCAGGCCCTGCAGGACATCAACAATTTCTGTGAGGAGAGCCGCTGCAGGAACCAGTGGGTGCCCTGTCTGGAGCTGCAGGACGGCTGAGCCGGGCCGGGAAGAACCGAGTCAGACCGCTTAGGAGCGGTGAGAAAGAGTGGAAAAAGCCCAAACAGCCGTCCTCATGCAGAAGAGGAGCAGTGGTGTTTGAGTGAGGACCGGGCCGAACCGAGCCTTCCTGATGGATGGGGGACTGATGTGGCCGGGCAAGGCGCGCCAGCTACCGGTACCTGGTGGGTTGTGAAAACCGAACCGGAGTGTGCAGGAGGCTTCAGGTCCTGGAGCTGCAGAGAGGGAGAAGATTTTCTTTTAACATTCACGTGACTGAGTGACAGCACCTGGATGTCACGTAACTGAACTGAACTGAACTGAACTGAACTGAACTGAACTGAAATGAACTCATGAATGTCCTGAGGAGCTGCAGGTAAAGCTCCGGAGTAGCTGGGCTGCAGGTGCGGCTCACCTGTCTGCTCACACATGAACTGAGGTTACCCAACAGCATGTGACGTCATAGTATGCTATTTGTTGTTGTTAGTGAAGCAGTGACTAAAGCGAACAGAGTTAATATATGAGTGGATCCACCTGTTGACTTATTTGATTAATAAATTATTGAAGGAGAAATGGTGATGATGCTTTGAGTAGTTCATCCAGCAGGAGTGTGTGTGTGTGTGTGTGTGTGTGTTGCTATCTTTGAGAACTAAGCTTTTAACCATCATACTGGGGACATGACTTGTTGTCACTGACAGTCCTCACAAACGTTATTTAGACTGTGTATGACTCATCATTAGTATTAAATATGGTAAAAAACAAAAACAAACAAACTTTAAGTACAGAGCTGCCTAGTGCTCAGTGATGTTAAATTATACATAAACTGCTCAGAGAACATGGAGCAAATATACTATGTGTACATCCCTGTTCTCTTACTGTCTTTTCAAATGCAACCCATCAAGCTGCACCTCCTGACACTGAAAAAGCACACAGCATAACCTGTAAGGAGGGGTCACATTCATTTGAAGCGTCAACATCACAAACTGTGGGAACCAGTGGTTGAATATGTTGGAGCATTCAGATTCTCCTTCACCAGAGCTAAGTTTGGGCCTAGATCAAACTAGGGGACTGGGGTGTCTGCATACTTTTGGCTATATAAAATATGTATCACCTGGATCTGGGAGCTGTTTTCAAGCCTGTGCATCCTGGTTTTATTCTTGCTATCAGCAGATCACCCATTTTAGCCACATGTAGCCTGCAGTAAGAGTCAGCCTGCTGCTGTAGATGACTGATGGCTCTGCAGGCCACATTCAAGTTTGTGAATGTGCAGGTGATGAAGCTGTAAAATAAATCTGCAATGTTTCTATATATATATATGCACAAATAATCAATTAGGGATGCAGTAATCAATGATTTTGTTTATTATCAGTGTTGTGTCTATAAAAAGTCAGAACACAGTGATGGGGTAAGTCCATGAAAATCCCGGGTGATGTCTTCACATGTCTTATTTTGTCTATTTTGACCGGCAATCCAAAGCCCACTGGGATTCAGTTCACGTCATATGACACTTGTGTGAACCCACTCAGGTGAGACACACTCTGTATGGCCAAAAGTAGGCCAGAGCAGAACTGAATGTTTACACTGTCCACATACATTTGTCCATGTACTACAGTGAATTGTGGAAAATAACCGTACTGTGTAAAAGCAGAAAATCTGGTTTGGAGTCTGACCGTGAGCATCTCCGTGAGATAAAACAGGATGGTTACATGAGGAGTGTGTTGGTGGAGAATTTCACACTGCCTGTTTCCATGGTGCCTATGAGGTGTGTGTGGTCTTGTATGTCTGTCTTTGTGAGGGCCAGTTTGAAATTTACACCTTAGAGGTGGAGATATTTTGAAAAGTGAGGACCTTAAAGGGATAGTGTGAAAGGTCCAGATTAGGTCCGGGGACAGACAGCGCACCATGTGAACTTGCATGAACCTACAGCAATGCTGCTGCTTTGCTCAGTGGTGTCTGGTGAGAAGTGAAATTAAACCTGTCGCTTCACTTCTCAAGGCCACAGGGAGACTCACAGGGAGAAGAAGTGATGGAGGGGGTGTCCCCTCTACCCTCTACTGGTGTTAAAATAAAAAATGAGTCACTTCTACTGAATCACGATTGCCTGCTTCTCTGTTATGAGCCATTTTTAGAGAAAAAGAATCTTTGCAGACTGAGGTCCAAAAGCGAGTGTTTCATGATGACTGCTTCTCGTTAGTACAGCTTCATCAGATCAGTTGTTTGACTCATCATATGCTTTATCATACAGTTAGAGTCCACAATGTCTGAATACAAAACAAAGTCTGCCGATACACCCCCACAATGATGGGAATTCCTCATGATACAAGCATCAGCTAAAGCTTAGCATCGTCAACACTAAAGGAACTTTTTCTTACTCTTGGTTTTATTTTTGGTCTTTTCTATCACAGCTGAGAGAAAGTGACTCACAGGAGGAGTCAGTGATTTGTGAGACAGGACAGACATCCTGAACACGTTGTACTGGCATTTAACAAGCCAGAGTCAGGAGACAAGACTGAGAAATTAACTGAAGTGTATCAAGAGCTAAGCTAATGCTATGTTAACAGGTCCTAAAAACAACTGACGCTAAGGGCCTCAGTGACGTTTGTCTCTGGTTGAGTATAGATAATTCTACTGTAGGTAGATGCAAATAGAACAGGACTGCATTTACTGTAGTTACTGTAAACCCATGCACAAAGTAGCTCAGATTTTGTAATGCAGTTTTAATGGTCTGCATTCAGAAACCCGGTAAACCTGCTTTGTGACTAGTTTTAATGAGGCCCTGAAATTTGACTTTGCCCCAGAGGAGATGAAACCGCTCTGCAGGACACCCAGCACAATGAGCCTGCTCTCTAGTGTCAGACTGCTCCTTTGAGTGATCTGTTAATGAGCTGAGCTCCTGTTGGAGATTTAGTTTCTTTGTGCTCCTGCCGCCAGTGACACATCCATACTACAGGCTAGTTTCACCTCAGCTAGCTTCCACATACTCTGTGCATGCTGTGACAAAAGGACTCCAGCTGGCAGAAACAGCTCCAAGGATCTGCTGTGGCCTGCAAACTCCTCTGACATTCATAGATGTCATGTTCTTCCACCTGTGTCTTCCTGTTTCATTCTGTTCCATCCTGTGTTTATTTCACCCAGACTGAGCTAATGCAACACACTCCTCCTAGCCTGTCTGCTTTATAGCTTTAAGACATGTCCAAAGTACAGCTGCTGCAGCATGGGCTCAGGTCAGGGTCACCCAGGAATTACTATCTGGTGTAGATTCTTCTGTCGGGCCTGGCACTGCACAGGGTTAAGATGATGATGATGATGGTGGCCACCACCACCGCAGGGAATAAGGGGAAACAGCAGCATTTCACTGAATCATGTATGTACTTATGATTAGCTTTCATTAGGCCTCTGTTTGCATTTCGTACTGTCGGCTCTGCCGCTTGGTGCTGGGATGTGTTTATACAGCTCACTGTTCTACAAACAAGCTGCTGCCCAACAACATGAACCAAACATTTCCTGTTGCTGCTCCATCACAGCTACAACATTTGAACAGCCCAGGTAGCTTGTAATACTTCAGACAACAAACACAAAAAACAATATAATATGATAAATGTAACAACAACAGAAAGAACAAAACAAGCCCAAAGCAAATTGATCAACAAAAGCAGTGTCCAGTCAGCCCCTGAACATTAGGTAGCTTCTCTGTCCTGCAGCGTAGGGCTCACGTAGGTCTCCTGTTAGAGTTGCCCAGCTGTTCAGTTATGTTAGCTGAGCATTAGCCTCTGTAAAACCTAACTCCTGGCTCTGGCCTGTGGCATGCAAGGTCCAATATGTTCAGTGTCTTTCTGGCAGGAGCTTTGATCCACTGCTTAAAGCAGCAGAGGACAGCATGTTACAGACTTTGCTCATGTTCCTGACCTTTTCCAGGTTATTTTCAGGCCTGTGCTGTTGTTCTGCGACAGACAGGGGGTTAAATATTTCTATAAAGGCAGAGGGAACACAGAGTTCTTCCAGCTGTGTGTGAATCCTGCTGAGCTGTAAACTGAAGTTTGCAGCCAACTCTGTACAAACAGCCACTGGCCCGTGATGTCACATCCTGCTGTAACCCCCACCTCCACCCTCCACCTCCTCTGGAGGTGCCGGGACTCCACCGCTTTGCTGACGCCACAGCCCCGTTTGCTTTGGCAGCCGGCCCATCCCTGCTGGGCCCCAGCACGGAGCACGGTGCCATGACTCCACTGACAACACAACAGACTCCAGGTGATGGACAGCTCAGTTCAGCCAATCAGGTACCAGAGGTGTTTCCATATAATTTATGACACAGAACTTAATTTGGACTTAAAGAATGCATGAAATGAATGATCTGAAAGATAAACTCTCCTTTCTCTTATGGAACAATCGCTGTTTTACAGTTTCTACTGGTGATGAATTTAAATGACAGAACAGTTGGGTGAACAACTGATGTATCTCACTTATTTGAAAACTTTTTATCCACCCAGTGGCCGGTTTATTAGGAACGTCTGTCTCAGACTAAGTCAGTCTGGTCCAACAGTGAATCCTCCTCCATGAAGGCGGTGATGACCGGTCTGCTCAAACTGGTTCACAGAGGTGCTGGCTCAGCTGCGTGGTCACTGAAGAGGCTGCAGTTTGTTCTGCTTTTCTACTGTAGCGGGCTGTGTTTGCATTGGCATGAATAAACAAAAGAAGAAAACTAACACATCAAGAACTCAGAAGGAGAAATAATCTGCCTCCTGAGGAGAATAAAATACCTTACTGCCCGTCAGTGTACACGTATACACATGTTCACATGGAGGCTTTGCCCACACAGAGACATACTGACGACTTGCATCGTCATGGAGGCTTCATTCACACGTTGACATCTCTCAGCAGCTCTGTGGTTTCTTCTTGTCAAGTTCAGCTGAGGTTTCACTTTAGAAACTAGAGTTCTTTAACCAGTGTCTAAATGGTCTTTTATGTCTAAAGTTCTGGAGAAGATTGTTTTTATCCAGTTCCAGTGTTTTTTGACAGATAATGGCATTGAGGAGCAATTTCAATCTGGTTTTAAATCAAAACATAGTACTGAGTCTGCATTATTAAAAATCAGTAACAATATCCTGTTGGCTAGGGACGCCGGGGATTCGGTTTTATTGGTGCTTTTAGATCTCACTGCTGCCTTCAATACAGTGGATCATGAAATCCTATCTTGTTTGGAGCATTGCGTAGGAATTCAAGGTACTGTTCTTAACTGGTTCAGATCTTATCTCACTAATACAAGTTACTGTTACTGTTAATATTGGTACCTGTTCGTCCTCCTCAACTATCCTTTCCTGTGGTGTCCCCCAAGGATCTGTGCTTGGTCCCATTTTGTTCTCTTTGTACATGCTCCCACTGGGATCTATCTTAAGGAAATATGGCCTCTCGCCACTGGCTTCCAGTCTGTTTTAGAATTGACTTTAAGTTATTTTTTAAGGCTCTTAATGGTTTGGCTCCATTTTACCTCACTGAATTAGTGCATTGGCACAAACCTTCAAGGTCCCTCAGATCTTCAAGCCAGTTTCTTTTAGAGGTTCCAAGGGTCAGATATAAACGCTGGGGCGATTGTGCTTTTA